TCATGAGTCTGTTGGCCATATGTATGTCTTTGGAAAAATGTCTATTCATGTCTTCTGCCCATTTTTTAATTGGATTATTTAAATTTTGGGGGTGTTGAGTTTTATAACTTCTTCATATATTTTGGATACTAACCCTTTATCAGATATGTCATTTGTGAATATTTTCTCCCATTCTGTAGGTTGCCTTTTAGTTTTGTTGATGGTTTCCTTCACTGTAGAAGGAAGAGTTTGATTTTGCTTACCTTTCCTTGCCTCAGGAGACCTATCTAGAAAGAAGTGGCTACAGCTGATGTTAAAGAAGTTACTGCCTGTGTTCTCCTCTAGGATTTTTATGGCTTTGGACCTCACACACTTCACCCATTTTTCTACTAATTTTTTGTTGTTGTTGTTGTACCACAATGTAATCTAAGATACTACACTGCACTTAATCATCACATCTTCCTAGTCTCCTCTTCTCCATGACATTTTCTCTTGTTTTTTCTTCAACCTGACTATGTTATTATTTTTATATATTCATGAAATTTATAAAAACTGACCTACTACAGGGCTACAAAGCAAGTTTCAGCAAATTTTTAAGGATTTAAATTGTATAGAGTATGGAATATCCAGTGCAATTAAGCTAGAAATCAGAAAAACAATAGAAATTGTTTGGGTTCAAAAAAATCATAATGAAACTTAGAGTATGTTTTAAACTGTACAATAGCTAAATCCATATTTTTAAAGCCCTAAATTAATATATTAATGAACAAGAAAAGATTGAAAGTTAAGCTATATATCCACTTTAAGAGCAGAAAGTGTTAAAGTAGAAGGTAAATATATAGTAAAGAAGATTAACAAAGCTAAAATTCTTCAAATAAACATTCTTCAAAAAGAATTTTAAAATTAAAACGAAAAAAAGAGGCACCTGGGTGGTTCGGTCGGTTGGGCGTCTGACTTTGTCTCAGGTCATGATCTCATGGTTTGTGGGTTCGAGCCCCATATTGGGCTCTGTGCTGACAGCTAGCTCAGAGCCTGGAGCCTGCTTCAGATTCTATATCTCCCTCTCTCTCTGACCCTCCCATCCTCACTCTCTCTCTCTCTCTCAGAAATAAATAAAACATTAAAAAATTTTTTTAAAAAGAAAAGAATTTCAAGATCACAAACAAGGGGGTGCCTGCCTGGCTCATTTGATAGAGCATATGACTCTTGATCTTGGGGTTGTGAGTTCAAGCCCCATGTTGGGTGTGGAAATTACTTAAAAACAAAATTTTTAAAAAAATAAATAAAATAACAAACAGAAAATGAAAATTTAAAAATATGTCATTTAAATAGCATAAGTTCCTAAGAATAAATCTGACAAAAAGATGTGCAAGACTTCTGTATGGGCAATTTTAACATTGAGAGAAATTAGAGACCTATGTAAATAATAGGTCTCTAAGATTTCAGATTTTAAGGCAGTTTATACAGATGTCCTTTTTCTGTAAAGTAAATTATAGTTTCACTGTAACTCCAAACAAAATCCCAACAGTTTTATGGGGAGTAGTGGTAGAATGCGACAAGTGGCTTCTATAATTTATATGGAAATGCAAAGGGCCAGGAATAGAAAATGTGATATTCTTAAAGCAGAACAAGCAGAGAGGACTTGGTCATCCAGATAGGAAATATTTTAAATATTGTCATTAAGACTTGCACCAATGACAGAGAATAGAGAAGCCAAAAAGACTGCCTTTATAGATAAATAAGACACTGTAGAGCAACAGGGGAAAGACAGTCCTTACAATAAAAGATGCTAAGGCAATTAGATAGTCATTAAATATCTCATTAGCTAGTTAGATAGCCAATTCAGATTTCTAATTAGATAGCCAATTAGAAAAGAATGAAATTGTTTCTCTCAGCTGACAGCATAACATTCTGTTCCACGTGCATTGATGTTTAACTGTCAAAGCTAAAACTCAAAAGTTTGAGAGTATGTTTCTGACCTTACTAATAGAAAAGGATTTCTAAAACAAATCCATTAACCATGAAGAACTTTGGTAAACATGACTACATTGAAATTGAGAACTTGCGCGGCGCCTGGGTGGCTTAGTCGGTTAAGCGTCCACCTTTCGCTTAGGTCATGATCTCGCGGTTTGTGGGTTCGAGCCCCGTGTCGGGCTCTGTGCTGACTGCCAGCTCAGAGCCTGGAGCCTGTTTCAGTCTGTAACTCCCTCTCTCTCTGACCCTCCCGTGCTCAAGCTGTCTCTCTCTCTCTCTCCTAGAAATAAATAAAACATTTAAAAAAATGAAATTGAGAGCTTGTGATTGTTTAAAGAAATCCCAAAGAAAATATAAAAGCAAGCCATCGAGTAAAAGATGATTATAACTTATATAATGAATAAAGGGCTAATATGCAGAATGTATAAAGAGCTCTTATAAATATATATATCTTAAGATATTTATAAGCTATATATATATACTTTAAGAGCAGAAAGTGTTAAAATAGAAAGTAAACATATAATAAAAATTAACAAAGCTAAAATTCTTCAAATAAACATTCTTTAAAAAGAATTTTAAGATGACAAACAGAAGGGGGTGCTCTACTGGCTCATTCAGTAGAGCACATGACTCTTGATCCAGTTAAAAAAAAAACAAGAGCAAATGACTTAAGCAGGTACTTGACAAAAATGGATATCCAAAAAACGAGCAAACATATGAACTAGTCATCAGGGAAATGCAAAATAAAACCAAAATGAGATACCACTCTACACCCATTAGAACTGTTAACTAAGTTGGAGAAGATGTACAATGTAGAGAATTCCCATTTCCTGCTGAAGAGAATATAAATTGGTTTTCTACTTTGGAATGCAGTTTGGAGTTCTCTAGTAAAGTTGAGGATAAGCATACCCTAAGACTTAGCAATTTCACAAGGCATATTCCCTAGAGAAACTCTTTATGTGTAGAACAGGATAAATGTATAAGACTATTCATAGCAGTATTATAGCCTTAGATAACCATCAAAAGATGAATGATAAAAAAATTATATTATGGTATATCCATATTGTGGAATACTGTGCAATGAAAATGAACAAAGAACAGCTGGCCACCACTATATATAACTACCTAACATATATTTGTTTATTTGGGTTGTCTTTAGAATGTAAACTTTATGAAAGCACAGACTATCTCTTTTGTTCACTGCTGAGCCTGCAGTTTCTCTAACAGCATGTAGTATATAGTAGTGCATAAAAGGCTCCCAAATGAATTGAATGAAATACTAATATAGAGGGGCACCTGGGTGGCTCAGTCAGTAAAGCATCCTACTTCGGCTCAGGTCATGATCTGTGGTTCATGAGTTTGAACCCCATGTGGGGCTCTGTGCTGACTGCTTTGGATTCTGTGTCTCTTCTCTGCCCCTGGCCCGCTCACATTCTCTCTCTCTCTCTCAAAAGTAAATAAACATTAAAAAAAAAAAGCTAGAGATTCTGCCTATGAAAACTTGAAATCTTTGTATTGTTAATTGCTCATCTGCAGCAGTACAATTGATATTTGTTTATTGGTCTTGTATTTATTATAGTTGTGTTTTTATGGATTGAAAATTCTTTCAGTTCTTTGGAAAGACTTAATGAAGTTGAGTCACTAAAGAAAACTGTAAATAGTAAAAGCGTTAAGGAAAATAATGAAAATCTGAAGGAATTGTGCCCTCAAATTGCTTCTTAAGGGTCTAAGTTTTCACTTTAAATCAAAACTGGAAGTCATAGTCTTTTGTGTATATAGAACCATAGCCAGAAGATTGGCTTCCAAAGAAAAGGCCTAATTTGACTCTGCATCAAAAGATTGACAAGTGACTACTTCGTGTATTTTAACATAAATGTTTAAGATAATGTATATAACAATTTTTCACAATTTCCTGCTTTGACTTTTTTCAATTAACTGCTCTTCTCAACAGTCAGCCGTCCCACAATGGTTCAGAGGCTTTTTCCACCCTAGAATTTTGCAGGAACAAAGAAATCATAGCCTAGAGCAGTTGTTCCTAAACTTTGCTATGCAGCAATGGAATGAAAGCTTAGACAACTGAGAAGAGAAGCAGCTTGAGCCTGGAATTCTTTTAGATCTTTTTAACAAGCTCCCCAGTTTGAGAACCATTGTCCTAAGCATTACTTGTACAGTTATATGTGAAGACTTGTGGTGTTCAAAGTGTAAGTATTTAAGAAAGATCATTTAGATGTAGAAAGAAAATATTAGCCCTCTTATTTTATGTCATTGTATTCATTTATATTTGTTTTATATTACATATATATCTCAATACACTAGTACATGTTAATAGTTTATAAGTAAATTTATTTTTCAGATGGGATGACAATCAAAGCAAGTTGTTTAGCCACCAGAACCTATTTTTCTTCAATAGTCAAAGCAAAGTATAATGGAAGGAGAGTAGAGATGCCCAGTTTTATTCTCCTATAGCTAAACTTTACATTTACTTTTCTACTGTACTTCCAAAGACAAAGATTAAATAAGACTCATAAGGCAAATACTGTCCCTGATTAATATATATTAACTTTCTTCGGGAAAATGACATAGTTATGTCTACCCGTATCTCCATTATACTTTGCTAAGAACTAAATAATGAATAAAATGGGAAAACTTTGTTAATCCCATAAATTAATATCTTTAGATTTGCCTGCTTTAAGTGCAAAATACTTTTTAGGGAAAAAACTGAAATTTTATTTTTCCTCCTGAAATAGTTTACTTTTTATTTTAATCACTTAAATGCATCTTTATAACCTTAAGAAATAAAGTTGCATCTAATAATCCCACTTCATTATATTTTGCATAATTGAAATACAGCTAAGCCATATTTTTCATAATATGTTATAGTGAACTGTGAACAAAATTAGAAACTGTTTGGTGTTGATTTTCTTATTAATAAGTAGTACTTTTATACTTAATATAATATTAGAATAAAACCCTAAAGAATGATACAGGTTTCTTTGTTATTGTTTTTAATCTTATCATGATTAGTGAGACAGTTATTTGTTTTCTAGATTGATGACCTTGTAAAAGCTGTTGGTAACTGCAGCTACAACCAGCTAGTGGAGAAGATCATCTCTTGCAAGCAGTCAGACAATAGTGAGCTGGTTAGTGAAGGTGGGTGAGTGCTATTACCTGACATATTCTTGGCAGAATAACTTGTCTTATAATTTAATATCTTTAAAATGTCATAAATAAGACTTCTAAAAAAATACAAGTGATGCTACTTGTAGGTATTCAAAGGAGTAATTATTCATAAAGATACCAGTGAACAGTTTTTCTAGAACACTTTTCACTTGACTTCTAGAGTCTAGTTTAGTTTAGTTTAGTTCTACTAAAAAGTAGTTTAGTTCTACTAAAAATCCTTGGAATCATTTGTTAGCTTTGATAAGGTCATTTACCCAGGAGTTCTTGATAATTACTCTTTTGAAAAAAAGGGTTAGGATTATTATTTCGGAGTACTGAGTGAACTTTATAATTAATCCTCCAATTGACTGAAATGAATATTATATACTTCTGTTCATTTTAGTACAATATAGTATATTAAAGCACCATTTTATTTATTTATTTATTTAAATGTTTTATTTCTGAGAGAGAGAGAGAGAGGAGTGTGTGTGTGTGTGTGTGTGTGAGAGGGCAGGGTCAGAGAGAGAGGGAGACACACAATCTGAAACAGGCTCCAGGCTCTGAGCTAACTGTCAGCACAGAGCCCAACGTGGGGCTCAAACCCAAGAACCGTGAGATCATGACCTGAGCCGAAGTCGGATGCTTAACCGACTGAGCCACCCAAGCGCCCCTAAAGCACAATTTTAAATCAAAGTGTACTTTGATCATCAGTTTTCCTAATCCCTAACTATTTAAAATGGCTAAATTTATCATAATAGAAGCAGTTTCATGTTTCTTCAGCTGTGTTCTAGTCAATGAAGGGAAGAGCATATTTGAAACCAGAATGGTGTAAGGAGCCATAATATTTGGATAGACCTTTCCTACCACCTACTTCACTTCCTCATAAATATGCACAAATACTCAGGCTGCTGTTCTCTTCTGTTTGAAGGGTAAGCAAAAGTAAGAGAAATCATGAGAATTAGGAGAAACTTTGCTTCTCAGAAAGTTCTTTTACATGAGGTGTACTGAAAGTTGATTATAATCACCACATTAAAAAAAATTAAGTGACTACAAGATATAGAGCATATAAAAGAAAATAGGTACATGAATCACATACTATATAAATCAGAACCCAACTAATTATATTACTCAGTAGATCCATAAGTTTAACACATTTATTCAAGAAGCAAGTAGCCAGAAAATACAGAGTATTTTAGTGGAGACTTATCCTGTGTTTTTACTTGGAATAAACACATAAGTATACAGAGATATCAGTCACTGATTTGTATGACAACTCTTTCCCTGCAACACAAGGCAACAAATTTTAATTACAGGGGTGAGGGAGCAACAAAAGCCGTATAAAGAAATAAAAACAAAAAACTTCCAATTAATAAAATTCCTCTCACTAGAACTTTCCAATCTTTTTTTTTTTTAATGTTTTTATTTATTTCTGAGAGAGAGAGAGAGAGAGAGAAAGCGTGAACAGGGGAGGGTCAGAGAGAAAGGGAGATACAGAATCCAAAGCTGGCTTCAGGCTCTGAGCTGTCAGCACAGAGCCCGACGTGGGGCTGGAACCCACAAGACGTGAAATCATGACCTGAGCTGAAGTCGGACACCCAACCGACTGAGCCACCCAGGCGTCCCCATTCTTTAAAAAAACAAAAAAATTTTTTTAACGTTTATTTTTGAGAGTGGGAGAATGAGTAGGGGAAGGGCAGAGGGAGAGGCAGAGGGAGACACAGAATCCGAAGCAGGCTCCAGACTCTGAAAGTCAGCACAGAGCCTGACATGGGGCTCAAACCCACAAACAGTGAGATCATGACCTGAGCCGAAGTTGGACGCCTAACTGACTGAGCCACTCAGGCGTTCTTAGAACTTTCCATGCTTTATCCAAACTCTCATTACTGTGTATTCCTAAAAAAAAAAAAAAAAAAAAGCCTATAAAGAAAGTTGCCATGTGTAAATTCCAGCTATCTCAGTAACTTCCAATATGCTATTCTGTAGTAACTTAGGGAACAGTAGGATCCAGAAAGTGTTAACAGATGGATTGATAGCTAGAGAAGTGATATTTGGGTGAGTAGGCTTATAGAGTATGAAGCTGTAGGGAAGGCTCGTTAACAACAGTTTTCCTAAGGCAGCCTATAATGTCACTAGGGTAGGACTTAGGCAGTACACTAACAAAGTGAACAACAGCAAACAACAGCAACACAAATCCAGTCCCTTTATCACTTCTCCTTTTTCTCGACCTGATATTACAACAAATGTTACTATTTCTTTAACATTGAGTCCTCAGGATTACAAAAAACTTAACTAATTAAAATAATTTTTTTTAATGTGTATTCATTTCCTGAGAGAGAGACAGAATGCGAGCAGGGGAGGGGCAAAGAGAGAGGGAGACACAGAATCTAAAACCAGCTTCAGACTCTGCGTTGTCAGCACAGAGCCCAATGTGGGGCTGGAACTCATGAACTACGGGATCATGACCTGAATCGAAGTTGGATGCTTAACCAACTGAGCCACCCAGGTGCCCCACTATAACTCCTTTATATAGTTACAACTTGAGAAGAACTCCTTGATAAAATCAAGGAAGGAATCCTCTTTAGTGTTACAGAATTTTGAGGTAATATGTACCAGAGTTGATTAATACCTTCATATGTAAATTTTGCAATGGTAGAGGTCTGCATATCAGATTTTTTAATCAAGGAATAATTATACACAGAATTCAGTACAGTGAAAAAGCTAGGGGAACCTGGATGGCTCAGTCAGTTAGGCGACCGACTTTGGCTCAGGTCATGATCTCACAGTTTGTTAGTTTGAGCCCCACATCGGGCTCTGCAATGACAGTTCGGAGCCTGGAGCCCATTTTGGATTCTGTGTCTCCCTCTCTCTCTGCCTCTCCCCTTCTCATGTTCTGTCTCTCCTTCAAAAAATAAATAAACATTAAAAAATTAAAAAAATAAATAAAAAGCTAACCTAGTTTTTTGTTTATAGGAAACTATAAATGTGTAGTCTGAAGTAATTACTCAGTTCCAATGGTTACTTGTATAGGCACTAAGATATAGTATAGGAAAGAAAAGGCGACGATGGATATTTTTACTTTTAATGTAGTAATTAGCTTTCCTCCAGTGTTTTCTTCTTCATATTTTCTTAGGCATAGTGTTCAACTGAAGGAGTCTGCTTTTTCTGTTTGTCCGACAACTGTAACTTTCCCTCTGAATCAATAAAATATCCAAAAGATGGTTTATATCTAATCCTTTTTTATTAAAAGGTATTAAGCTTTAATCTTAGGTGATAACTACTTATTTTTTTAATTCAAATATTTCATCACCATGAGTACAGAACACAAGAAATATTACTATCATTCTTTTTTGATGAAAAAGCAGTGTTAACTAAATAGAATTAGATATTCTTTCACCTTCTTTCAGATAACATTTTTTTCTTTTGATGACAGTACCTTGTAAGTAAAAATATAGGACTTTCACATATACATAGCATATATATTATTTGTTTCCTCTTTTGGATGGCAGTACTTTTTTGAATATAGGTATAATGATAGATGTGGCATGGCAGCAAAAATCAATAAGGAAAAAAGAAAAATAGCACAGTAGCAGCTGCCAGACTTCACCAGAGCTGGTCACGTAATTCCAGATGCTTTCTCAGGAATAATTTTTCCCTTAACAATTATTCCTAACTTTAAAAAAATGCTCAAATCCATGATATTCATTTATTCAAATACTTATCAAGCCTTTATCATGTGCCATAAACACTAAAGATTATAGTTTGGATTTAAGTTATTTCTGATTAAATGATACTCATTTTCTCTTCTTTATCTTTCTTTTATTTTGAAAAACTCTGAAACCCATAAAAAAGTTGGAATAGTACAATTGATTACATGTATGCAGTTTGCCTGAATTCACCAATTATTAACATATCAAAGTTTTGCTTTCTTTCTCTGTTTGCACACATAAACAGACTTTTTTCTAAACCATGTGAGAATTAGTTGCAAATATCACAGCACTTTGCCCATTAATGCTTCAACATTTGTCTCCTAAAAATAAAGAATTCTCTTATATAGACACAATAAATTATCTCAGGAAATTTAGCATCGATACAATACTTTTTTTCTGATTGATACAATACCTTTATCTAATATACTGTTTATATTCTTAATTTTCCAGTTGTCCCAATAATGCCCTATATAGCTCTTAAGGTTTTTCATTGTAGGCTCCAATCAGGAATCATTTGTCCTATCAGCTTAGATTCCTGTAATCTAGTTTATCCCTAGTCTTTTTTTCCTTTGTGGTCTTTTCTTAATAGTCCAGGCCAGTTTTTGTAGAATAGTCCTCAATTTGGATTCATTTGATTGTCTCTTTATGAGTAGAATCATTATATATTTTTGGTGGGAATACTACATACGTGATACTATGTCTTTCCTAAAGCATCAAATCAGGTGGCACAAGATGCTTGCTTATTCCGTTATTGGTGATGTTGAAATATGATTAATGTGGTATCTGCTAGATCTTTTTGTTGTAAAGATGTCATTTGCCTTTTGTAATTAATAAGTAATCTTTGATGTGCTTTGAACTGTGTGAATCCCCTGTTCCCTGATAATCTTTCACCCAGTACAGTAGGCATTGATTGATTCTTGTCTGAATAAACTATTACTATAGTGGTTATGCTATTTCTATTATTCCTTCTACATTTATTAGTTGGGATTCTTTTTTTTTATATAAAGTGTATTTAAAAAAATTTTTTTTAATGTGTTATTTGTTTCTGGGAGAGAGAGAGAGAAAGACAGTGTGAGCAGGGGAGGGTCAGAGAGAGAGGGAGATACAGAATCTGAAACAGGCTCCAGGCTCTGAACTAGCTGTCAGCACAGAGCCCAATGTGGGGTTCGAACCCATGAACCATGAGATCATGACCTAAGCCGAAGTCAGACACTCAACCGACTGAGCCACCCAGGTGCCCCAATTGGGTTTCTTCTGTAAAAATAAATGTTTTCTCTTTCCCCACTAAAATTTTTTTTATCGATGTAGACTCATGGATTCTTTTTTATTCAGTGTGTTATCATCCATTTTTATCATTACTCTTTTTGATACTTAAAATTATCTCAAATATATCCATTGAAGTCCTCTCAACCTGGATCCCATGTTCTGATTTTTTTTTTATGTCTTTATTTTGAGAAGACAGAGACAGAGAGCGAGCGGAGGAGGGGCAGAGAGAGAGGGAGACGCAGAATCTGAACCAGGCTCCAGGCTTTGAGCTGTCAGCACAGAGCCCGACGCGGGGCTCGAACTTATGGACTGTGAGATCATGACGTGAGCTGAAGTCAGATGCTTAACCGACTGAGCCACCCAGGTGGCCCTTTTTAATTTTTTTTTAATGTTTATTTTTGAGAGAGACAGAGTGCAAGTGGGGGAGGGGCAGAGAGGTAGATACAATTGAAGCAGGTTCTGGGCGCTGTCAGCACAGACCCCAACGTGGGTTCAAACTCACGAATGGGGACATCATGACCTGAGCCGAAGTCAGACATTTAACCACTGAGCCACCCAGGTGCCCGCCATGTTCTTTTATAATGTCTTCATTACTTCAGTACTTCCTTATTTTCTGGCACAGTAGGATGTTCTGTGCTCCCTACTGTATTCCTGGAATCAAATTATATGAGCCCTGTATTTTCAAAGGAAATCTGGGCATTTGTCATAGTAAAAGGGATTGTTTTGCCCCATCCTCTTGAGAAAAAATATTGATATAATGTATTTGATTTTTGAAAATTGACAGTAGATGAAACTAAAAAAGCAGTCATTGCTTAAAGCTATCACTGTGACAAAGTTCTGATTGAGTTTAAATTTGAATGCAGATCTTAGGCAGTGCCAAATCTAGCCAATATTTAAAAATAAGCCAAGTTTCCTTTTCTCCTATATCCTTTTTGTTCTTTCTTTGCCTAATTTTAGTGCCTCTCCTTCTAGTTTCAGTTCCTTTAAGGTATTTAGTACTTTTATTTTCTCTAATAACTCTTCAGTAATAGAGGAAAATAATTTGATAAATTTAGTATCAAATTTATGAAACTAAAATATTTTCAAATACATTTGTGTCAAGAAAACAATTTTTAAGTTAAATTTACTTTTAGTAGTATAACTTTATTATTACTATTATATTAGCTTTTACCTTTGGTATCATTAATAACAGTATGTAGAACATTAAAATTGAAATTTAAGCTAAATGTTGCATATAAACTTTGATTTGAAAAGCAATGCAGATAAGTAAATTGCTATGTAACACTTAGAATTGTTTACCAAACTTTGTTTATTAGTTACAAAAAGTTGTAACCCCCATGAAAATCACATGGGTCATTTTAAGAGTTGGTAAAAGAATTAGAAAACATTGTTTTTTGTAGGTTTAAATCAGGATATGCTTTATGGCTTGGAAAGAAGATAATTCAGTTTGCATTTATGATAATCAGCACTAAGTTTTTAAACTTAATACCAAATAACTCTCCTGGGTTCCAGTGTATAACTATTGACTCTTTCTATAGCTAGCTTTATGTCCTTGAGCAAGTCATGTATTCTCTCTGAGCTGATGTCCTTTCTCTTGAATGAAGTAGCTGAGAAAGACCTTTCTAGTGTTGGATTTTTTAATTTCACACACATGAAATAATGTGAGTTAATCTCCATTGAATTTTTGTATCTTTTTGAAAGGGACTTGTAGAGAGGATGTTGTGTGAGGTGTGGGAGAAGCATTCATAAACATTTTTCTGAAGGAATCATTTGGTAATGTGGATATTATATAAAACAGTGGTACTTCTCAGCATAGGTATAGTGCTTAAAGCTAAAACTATTATATAGCAAGTGCTTTAGTATATAACTAATACATTCTACCCAATAACTTAGTACTTGCTGAAGTAATGATAATAATTGAAGAGGGGAGCTCTTCTAAATGTATAAACCCAAGAAGTTACAAATGGGCTATTAAATTTCCTTTGGCCAGGGCCTTCTGTATAACTTTTTGCACTTCCCCTGACCTTAACCAATTCCTTGAAATAGGATACAGTAGCTACCAGTGATACACTGGTAGCTTTTTACAATCACTTTGCAGTTTACAGCTTAGAGTGCTTGGCCCTAAGGGTGAGAGATGAAGAGGAAGTGGAATAAACCTGTTACCCAGCTGCCTCTGGCCCTACCCAAGTTTATTTTCAATTTTTTGTTGGGTTTCAGTTTCTTAACATAAGTTCATCTTTTATTCCTATATCTGTACCTCTGCTCACTTATAAAAATTTTTAGGGCATTCGCTTCTACCCCCTACCCCCACCGTAACTGGTTCTGAGACATTACTTATTAAAAGAAGGGAGCAAAAGGATGAAGGAAGAGAAAGAAGGAAAGAAGCCTTTTAAAATATTTTTACAGATTCTCATTAGTCTTGGTAGTTACGTTGTATAATGTTGCTATGAACACTGAATTTGTGAATACTAAACCACTGCTTCTAGGGGAAACAAGAGTAGGTTCCTGTGAGCCTCTGGTCACCAGATTTTCATTAACTAATCAATAAATACATATCGTGTTTTCTTTGTGTTTCTATTTAGAGACACCTTATTTAATACATATTGTTGATTCATTAGCATTACATTCATGGCCAACAGCACTATAACTCTTGTCTGAATGAATCTGCAAAAATATGTGTTTTCTCTGTAAGGCATGTCACAGCCTTTGTGCACTTAGGAACATTACCCAGCACCTTCAGCAGTATGCTTGGGGGTCATTTCACACAGTAAAAATCACCCCAAAAAGCACACCTACTAGACTCTGAAGAGTCTGTTTTGGTAAGAAAGCTAAAACAAGAAAGCAGAATGCTGACTTCAGTGGAGAAAGTCTGCATTGAGTGACTCAAATTTTTTGCCACTTTGCACATATCCAGGATTGATCCTGAAAGCATGGCAAGTATTGATTTTGTATTTATAAATAAATTTTAGTTAGTAGGTGAGTTTGCAAATATGCAAGTGCACAAATGATGAGGATCAGCTAAACTCCAGAAAGCATCTTTATATTTCACTGTTTTGAAAACAAAAGAGATCATTTCTCTCTTTGAAATTGATATAGCTACATAATGAGTAGTATATGTTGGAGGACATTAGGATAAAATTGGCATAAGTTATCTCACTGTTTTCTGTTTGGTCTCACACCAGCTTTTAGTTTTTTAAGGCAAAAAGTTTGTGGATTGAGAATTATCTGAGTTCTTTGTTAACATCTTAAAACCAATGCAATTTGTTAAGGCTACTTTTAATTTCTGAACACCTTTCCATTGGGAGAGGAGCTGTTGATATACATCTTTCATTCCTACCTACTTTTTAAATTGCTGATTCTTGCCTTCTTACTTGTTTGAATGGGTTTTAGTTTTATTGTGTCTCTATCTTTTATTAATAGTGCCTGAAATCCTTTTTGGAAGTAGGTGAAGTATTAGTAAATACATTTATTGTTAAAAAGAATTTCACATAACTGTTTCTTTAGGATGGTTAATGTCTGTAGACATACCTTTCATACCAAAATTAGAAGAGTCTTCAGTTTGGAGTCAATCATGTTATAGTAGAGAAAAACCTTACTTTGATTGGCCTTTCTTCATACGTGGAACACAATGTAAATAGAAAAAAACTTTTTAATTTTGAAATTATTCTTCTATCTAATACTATGCATTGGTTCCATAGGCTTTGTAGCTGAGCAGTTTCTAAATAACACAGCCACTCAACTGACATACCATGGATTATGTGAACTAACTTCAACGGTTCAGGAAGGAGAACTTTGTGTGTTCTTTCGGAATAATCATTTTAGCACCATGACCAAATACAAGGTATGATATAGAAATAGCTATTTAACTGTTATTCTAAATTAAAGGAGCTGGATTTAGAGATGTTTTATGACCTACTTCAAATTTTAAAAAATCAGCATAATATTCTTTATTCATCAGATTATGAAGGTGATTATTAAATACTCCTTTAGGATGCAGTGGATTCACAATTTAAGTGTTACTTCATATCAGCTTTTTGTTTTAAGTCTCAACCTGTTTTTCACAGATTACTGCATTAAAAAGTATTAGTTCCTTTCTAAGAAAAAAAAGATAATCTTAGAAATAGAACTAGGATCCCTGCTAATGATGAATGTGTATATCTGAGGGTAAAAGGAGGTTAAAGGAATCAGGATCTGTCTTTTTGATGGTGTTTACTGTTATTAAAGTTATCAGTGTGACTTTAAATTCTTCTTATGCCATTTATGGTTCTGCCAAAAATCTTACTGGTTTATCCTTTTTTGTTATCTCTTCATCGTCTCTTCCATTATTACAGCTGCTACCTATGAGGAGTTTATCAACTTATAGGGGAGGATTCTGTGGTAGGATACACTGCCCTGATCATGTCAGTAATATAGCAAGTGTTCAGTAGCATTCAGTGCCTAGAGAATAAAAATGCAAGGTATTTTCTTCTATCCTCCTGTGCCAACACTTTGCTTCAGCCATATAATCTGTCTATTCATTAATAATCCTCTATCCTCAGGGCATGTGGCTCATTCAGTTAAACCCCCGACTTCAGCTCAGGTCATGATCTCGAAGTCTGTGAGTTCCAGCCCCGCATCGGGCTCTGTGCTGAGAGCTCAGAGACTGGAGTCTGCTTCAGATTCTTTGTTTCCCTCTCTCTCTGACCCTCTTCTACTCACACTCTGTCTCTCTCTGTCTTTCAAAAATGAATAAACATTAAAAATTTTAAAAAAATAAACCTCTGTCTTCGTATATACTTTACACTTTCCCATTTCTGCACTTTTACTATCATTTCTTCTTAATTCTTATTTGAAGAGATCTCACTCATTTTAGCCTATCCACAGTTTCACCTATCTTTTTTTTTTATGTTTATTTTTAATTTATTTTGAGAGAGAGAGATCAGGGGAGGGGCAGAGAGAGAGGGAGAGAGAAAATCTCAAGCACTTTCTGTGTGGAGCCCTATATGGGCTTGATCTCACAAACCATGAGATCATGACCTGATCCTAAATCAAGAGTGGGACACTTAACTGACTGAGCCACCCAGGCTCCCTTCACCTATCTTTTAAGAAGCATTTCAGGGGTGGGGCGCCTGGGTGGCTCAGTCGGTTAAGCAACAGACTTCAGCTCAGGTCATGACCTCATGGTTCTTGGGTTTGAGCCCCTGTCAGGCTCTGAGCTGATAGCTTAGAGCATGGAGGCTGCTTAAGATCCTATGTCTCCCTCTCTGTGCCCCAACTCCACTTGTGTTCTGTCTCTCTTTCTCTCTTAAAAATAAACATTAAAAAAAAGTTTTTAAATAAAATAATGTTTTTTAAAAAGGCATTTCAAATTCTAACTTTCCAGTACAGGTACTCTTTTTCTCCTTAAACCAGTGGTTCTCAACCAGATTGTATGCTGGAATTACCTGGAAGCTTTTTAAAAAATAACCGACGCCTAGAGTCCACCATCAATTCAATTAAATCAGACTGTCGGGAGGTAGGACCTAAGCATATGTATTTTTTAAATACTCCCCAGGTGATTTAAATGTGCAGTCAGTTTTCTTTTCCTGTAAATATGCCTTCTTTCTCTAAATGAAAGTAAGCTGATTTGAAGTCAGGGATCAGGTCTTCGTATTTCCTTCAACACTTTAATCAATGAATTGCACAAAGCAGTGTAAAATAATGCTTTATTTGGTTATATAAGAATACTTTAAGCACTGGGTAATATATTAGAACTGTTGAATCACTATGTTGTACACCTGAAACTAATGTAACACTGTGCGTTAACTACACTGGAATTAAAAATTTTAATTAAAAAAAATACTCTAAAGCCCTAGCTTCCTGTTATTAGTTATAGCAGGCATTCAGTTGTATTGCTCCCACATTTGAAGTGTATGTGTGCTAGGAACAAACCCAGAGTCATCCATGCTTTTCAAAAATTTAAGGCCCCAAAACCTCTGAATCAGAATTATTGCTGCATAGTATATACTGCTTAGTTGTCTTGCTTTATCTGATCTCTTCAAGTCCACACTTCATTCATTTAACAAATATCTGTTAAGCATGATTATGTCAAATATTTATTAAGCATGATTATGTCCGGGTGTTCAGCCAAGTACTAGGACTGCAGCCTGAGCAAGGCTGCTTTGGATCCTACCATTTAAGGACCTTCTAGTTTGGCAAGAAACATAGGTTAAATAATTGCACAAATAGTTATTGTTTCTATTGAGATATACTCTGTGAAGGGTACAAATACATGCTGTGAGTGCTTTTATCAGGACTTAGAACCGAATTGGGGATGTCAAGAAAAACTTCCTTGAGAAGATAACATTTAAACTGAGCCTTGAAAAATGAATCTTTTAGGAGTTTAATCAGTTAGCAGATTTGTGTTTTAATTTTTTTGTTTGGTTGGTTTTGGATTTTTGGTTGTTTGGTTGGTTTTTTTGTGTTTTTTGTTTTTTTGGCTCAGCAGGAGCCAAAAAATAAAATAAGATCTCTGGCTGTTATTGGTAGTTGCTATGCAACTTGCCCAGACTGAACTGTAGATGTTTTTGTCTTTTCTATCAAGGCCATGTCCCTGACCAGAAGTCCTTTACCAGTCAGCTAGGTATTCCCAGTGTTCCTATGTGGTTGGAGGGGTGCCTCCCCTTAAGCACTTTCTACCATGTGTCTGTTTCTGGACTAAGTATACATTTCTGTGAGATAATAACTCAGAGAATGTGTGCATTCTGCTGTTTCTCTGCTTCCACGTTTTTCTAAGTAAGCCTTATCCTGTGGTTAAACAGTGTATCAAAGGTGATATGTTATCTCCCTGCCCCCCTTTGTACAACATTAAGATGCTTTGAACTTTGAGGCAAGTGTGGATGTGGATTCAGTTAGGAGACTAATGTGCAGGGCTAAGTAAGATGTTATACTGACTTGGACTAGGATGGTAAAGAAATGGAGAGTAGAAAGATTCCATAGACATTTAAGAGATACAATCAACCAGATTTGGTGATTAGGTTGTAAAAATTAAGAAAGAATGGTTTCTGGGTTCTGAACATGAAAAACTGGATAAATGGTGGTGTTCCAGAGAGGAGCTGTTAGAGCTGCTTCCAAGGCATTCCTCCAAGTGAAAATGTTGGGTAAATGGTTCAAGACTGGAATAATTTTTGTGTATGAATGGTAATTTGGGAAAGGGTGAGATTTACAAAGAAAATATAGAATGAGAAGAAAAGAGATGGCTTAGGACAGAGATTTAAGGAGTGCCAACATTTAAGGGTCAACTAAGGGATATGAACTAGCAAAGGAGACTGAGAAAGAAAAAAAGAAAAGGAAAATCTGAAGAGCATGGTACCGTGTAAGCCAACAGGGAGAGAGTATTTCAAGAACAGAGATCTCAGTTATTAAATGCTATTGAGAGGATGAGAAACATGAGAACACTGTAGAAAAACCTGTCCATTGTTGATATGGATTTTGTTGGTATCTTTTAGAGAATGTTGGCAGCAGAAAAAACTCAGTTTGAATTGGTTAAGTGATTGAGGGGGCACCTGGGCGGCTCAGTTGGTTGAGTGTCCCGACTTCAGTTCAGGTCATGATCTCACGGTTCATGGGTTTGAGCCCCACATCAGGCTCTGTGCTAAATGCTTGCTCAGAGCCTGGAGCCTGATAAAGATTCTGTGTCTCCTCCTCTCTCTGCCTCTCCCTGCTTGTATTCTGTCTCTCAAAAATAAATAAATGTAAAAGAAAAATTTTTTAAAGTGATTGGGATATCAGGAACTCGAAACATTATAAGAAACTGTTTGAAACAATCTGTGTGGGAACATAGACATAATGGCTCATAGCTGTAGTGGTATATGGAATCCAGAGGGTTTTTTATTTATTTATTTATTTTTTATGTTTTTGGGATTGTGTGTGTGTGTGTTGTAAATATATTTTTAATGTTTCTTTTTGAGAAAGAGCACAAGCAGGGGAGAAGCAGAGAGAAAGAAGGAGACAGAATTCGAAGCAGCCTCTAGTCTCTGAACTGTCAGCACAGAGCCCAACTCGGGGCTCAAACTCAAAAACCTGAGATCACGCCATGAGCCGAAGTTGGACACTTAACCAACTTAACCCCCCAGGTGTCCCTGTTTTTGTTTTTTAATATGAGACATTTGGTTATGTTTAAATATTGAAGGACTCAATAGAGAAAGAGAGGTTGAAGATTCAAGACAGGAGATAATTGATGTTAGAAGGCCCCTAAGAAGGTGAAAAGGATAGTAGTTTTCACAGGTTAAGGGGATTAACCTTGACTGAAAAAGAGACCTGCTCATTGTAAAGGAGGAAGGAATAGACTATGAGTACAGCTACAGGTATATTTATAGATTTGATGGCAAGAACTAGAGAAAGCTACTGTTTGAGTGAGTCTAGTTTCTGTGTTGTTTGGAAGGCAAGATCATTTACTAAGACTGAGTAGGTAAGTTTGGTTCCAGATTTGAAGGAGGTGATTTGAATAGTCTTTACAGCACCTGGGAGAAAGTTCTAACCAGAGAAATTGAGGGTGGTAATTATTGGGTGATTTTTCTGCAGAAGTATTCATCATAGTATATGCATTGCAAAGATAGCTAGTTTATTATTCTACATTGGGGACGTTAAGTGGGTACAAGAAAGAATAGAAAAGCAAAGGAATTAAGGAACATCATTCTCTACTAAGATAACCCTGTTTATACAGAAGGAAAAAATTAGAACAACCATCTTGGTGGCCAGTCACTAAGGGAAATGCTTACTTTCCCTTGTTTACTCTAGTGACCACCAAACTGAAACAGTAACACTGGTCTTTTTTGCTTCTTATTATGAAAAACTGCAAAACTTAGAGAAAATGAATGAGAC